TCCAGCAGCCCTGGACCGGCTGTGATCGACAGGCCCAGTCTCCGTGAGCAATATGGTGCTGAATCTTAAAACAGCTCCTCAAAATGCCCAACTGATACACTGCATGTCATATAAAAATGCTGTCCCATTTTATTCACTTTCATTGAGAGTGGGGGGGTGGGGGAGTCAGTTTTCATTATAAATTAGTCACTTGGAAAATGGAAGATTTCCCCTCCAGTTAAAAATAGCTTTCAAGCATGAGTGAGATCACAAATAGCAATTATATTGCTTGAGATACTTACAATTAAGTTAGCCCTATTAAACTCAGTGGCCATGATTTACAGTAAGGAAAAAAAAAAAAAACCAGAATAAGAAGCGAAGGTAAATCTTTTATAAGTACTGTGATTTCATAAACTTACTGTTACTTAAAAGATGCTCTGCTCATTTATCAGTACCTGCTTTACAACCCAATTTATTGTATGTTGAGAATTTTATGGGAACACCCTGTTTACCCTTACAGTGCAAATTTTTTAATCTCACTTTTGGGCAGATGTTGTTCTTGCCATCAGTGATATAAATCCAAGGTCACTCTTCTGACTTCGTTTCTTTCAGGGTTCGTAGCAGAGAAAGAGAGGAAGAAAGTTGGCCTTGTGTCCTGTAGTGCAGTAGAAAATTAAAATAAAACATGTGTTTCTCATCTAGGAGGTATGAAATGCTGCAGCTGAGCACTATCTTTGGAGAAGCAAACATGCATCCATACGCTGTTTCCAACAGAAGGGTTTTCTGGCTACACAGTGCATGTCTTGCTGTTGTTAAAGGAGCAAAACCAAGGCCAAAATGGGAGTAGGCTCAGCAGCAGCATACAGGGGCTCTACAGGTGGTGAAAGGGAGTTCTGATGTTCATACGGTGTCAAGGTGCGCACTAAAGGACCAAAAGGACGCAGCGCTCCCCTGGTTCACTCTGCGTGTGCATGCACGCACCTCTTGTGTCCTGTTGGGCTTCAGGGGCTGCTTGGGAATTTTGTAGGAGGAAAAACATTTCCCCTGTGCATCTCCTCAAGACATTTGCTCTGCCTGCACCCCAGGCTGTCAGCAGCATCCTGCCAGGCTGCCCTTGGGCTGCAGCAGTGAAAGAGTACCGTCCCGGGGATCTCCCAGCAGAACTGTGCATGCCAGTGTCCCATGGCCCCATCACCATTGCATCAGGGCTGCTCTTTGGACAGCCCGGTGCCGAAAATGGAGAGATGAGGGAGACACAGACATGGGACAGAGAGGGAGCGGGTGAGGAGGCACCAGCACCCGTGTTTCGCATGTGCCACATCAGTCGGATGCTGCACATAGAGAGAGGTCAGAGCAGGAGAGGGCAAAGGGGATGCGGTGGGACAACAGCAGGTGTGCAACAAAGCCGGCATGGGTAATTTGACTTTGCTTTCCCAGTGAGCATCTCCTAGTCCCAGTTTTGACAGACAGGCAGTTGGTGTGGCACGGAGATTATTTATCTGGTTGAAGGCGAAGGAGGCTGCAGACCCTGGGACGGGGCTGTGGCACAGCCCAAGGCTGCAGGCAGCCAGTCCCCTGCCTGCCCCGACTCCAGGGCTCCCGTCTGCGGCATGAGTCCCTCGGCTTTCTTACGTATGTGCTTATGTGTGCCGAAGTCCAGCACGCGTGAGAAGAACATGAGGCTTGCAAATATCTGTGTATGTGCTCTGCAGCTACCAGAGGAGTCAGTGTATATCTGTATGTGTACTACACTTATTTTTAAAAATCAAGATAGTGATAAGCACAAAAAGCTAAAGCCTCAGTAAGGATCTGGTGGAGCAAATTCACATAGCTGAGGCTTCCTCTGCAAATAGTGAATTCAGATGATTTGCCTTTCTAGGTTTTCTCATAACTTCTGGGTATCTCCAAAAAGAGAACAGAGGGGACATTTCTCCAGGTCCCTTTCAGAAGTCACTTTGATCCTTATCTAGTGTCTCCTTTTCCTCATCAAAACCTCTTACAGGGGCATTTGTTTGTCTTTCATTCCTTGCTGGGATCTTGCCTGGCCTTATTCTGCTACATTACACAAGATAAGTGTGTTTACACAAGTCCCAGAATAAAGTGGCCTAAAAGTGGCAGGTCCTGAGGGGAACGGAAGGGATGGTATCACTGGATATAGCTCTTTGGGCACAGATAACAGATGTCTTTCTTAATATTTCATGATCCAATCTCCTAAAGTGGCAATAGAGAGTAAATGAACAGACCAATAATTAAAAAATCCTGTTTCATTAAAAATTATGCATATTTTGCATATATGTGGGAGAGACAGGCAGAGGCAAGTAACAGGAAAACAACTTCCTCAGAAAACACCAAGAACATTTTAAGAAAGATGTAAATCTGATGAATACTCCATAGAAACAGAAACGTCTATCCATCCAAGTTGGAAATGGCATACTGAAGAACTGCCTTTATTTTCCCATGGAGCCAGAAGTACTTTCCTGCAAACCACGGAGGGGGACCCATGTGTGCAAAATGCTTTCGGAGCAGCCCACCATGGACTGCAGCGTCAGCTCCAGGTGGTGCTCCAGGGAGGTCTGCGTGGCACTTCCACCGGCGGTCACTGCGGGGACTGAGCTCTCATCTTTCCAGATCCCCAATCCATCACCTGCAGGAAAGGAAAATCGGTGCAAGCCCTTAAGCAGAAGGTTAGGGCAGTGCCCGACCCCAGCTGCGACTTCCAGCAAGGCCACCCACCACCTCCACGTTACAGGAGAAGTGCACCTTGCCCTCCCTACAGCCCCAGATTGGGAAAATCCCTCTTCCAGAAAAGCCCTGGGAACAAGTACCAACTAGGCTGGTGGCTAAGTCCTTACTGGCTTAGAAACTTTCCAGTTGTATGAGAGGGTTTAAAAGCAATGGTTAGGCAAAGACTTAATAATCCACACAAGACATGCTTGGAAAGGTCCTGCGGTAGTGTAAGTCAAAGCGCTTCTACTGAAGGCAAGGGACCTGTGAATTGAACCTCAATAAATTTACCTGACTGCTGAGAGCCTCCCATGTAATAGAGAAATAATGCCCAGAGCAAAAGTAGAGAATTAACCAGATTCTGTCAATAAGCAATGTTTAAGGGGATGTGTTATTAAAAAAATATATTTTTTCTAATTTTTTATATGTTTGCACATTTTTGTCTCTCCTTAATCTAAGAAAATAGCAATTGATTCCTCAAGTAGATCTGTCCAGCTGAGCTCAAGAATCAGTAGAGATTTCACAAGCTTAATATTTATCAGAAGCAAAGTGAGACCTTTGGTGGAACGAGGCACAATTTAGCATTAAAAGTACAGAACCACCTACTGCTCCCTTCAGGGAACAGGATGGGAACTGCTGTTGCGCCCTAATTAAATTGAACACAAATCTTCAGAGTCATTTGGGTTACAAAAAAAGTAATAAGAAGGGTGGTTTCTGAATATGTTTTCTCAGTTTTCTGTATGCCTTCTTGCAAAGCCTGTGAAATTATTTTAGTCCAGATTTTGCATTATCCTGGCAAGGAAAGTGAAGTTTATCATCATTAGTAGTAGTCATAGTACTGTTTTTTAAGCGGCATAGAGTATTTAAGCATCTTTTTCCAGGCTCTGTATAAAGAATTGTCATCATACCTCAGGAGATTATTTCTCCCTATAGAGGACTCTGCCTCTACCATTTCTAACCGAAAAAACCCCACCCAAACCTGGAACTAAGAAGTCTTATATCTTTATGAAAAGCAATTGAAGAATCTCCTTCAAGACAAGCACCTGCTTGCTCAAGGAATGCAGAGGCTTTGCCAAAGCCAATGGACTTGCTTTGAGTTGGCAGCGGGGCACCAAGGGGAACCACATGCACCTGTGGACAGGTATGGTCAACCCCTCTGCTCTGGGCAGCACGTATCAAGTTGCAGAGGCTACTTCTTTGACCCAGCAATACGTTCATTATAAGAAAAGAATCTGATTTTTTATCAATATTAAAAAAAAGGAGATCTCAATGCCGCTTCCTGTGACAAGCAATACTCTACAGCATTGGACTTGGATAATAAACCAAAATCTAAAAGTCTGGTTGCTCCTAGTGCTCCAGAGAAGTAATGAAGTGTCATGGACATAAAGGAACAAAGCAGTAAGAAACATTCAGCACAAAGCTGTTATTATTAGGTTCTGTCAGTTACTTTAGCATTATGGAGAAAAATATATATATTTAGCATTTATATTTAGCATTATGGGGAAGAAAAAAAAATGGAAGAGAGGTACCTGAACCAGAGATGGCATAGCATGTTGGGAGAAACTGTTGGCATTTTGGGGCAGGAGGACCCAAATGTAGACCTTCCAATCCCTCCCTTTAAGAGTCCAGACTCCTGATTCAGTCCCGTTTACATTGTTACCAGCAGAACTTTCCTGAAGGACAGAGCAAAAGTAGAAAAAGTCAAAAAGCAGAGTCCTTGTTTTAGGGATCATATTGGGGGTGGGAGGGGGGGTGGCAATTGCCACGAGGACAAATGAGGTACACTAAGGTGAGGAAGACAGATCAGATGCGGTGTATAGAAAGTGAAAGGGGAACAGTTTTCCCCTGGTGCTCACAGTACAAGGAGGGACCATCAGCTGAAATTTTGAGGTCATACTTGCACACAACACATGAGCAAGCTCTGCAGGCCACTGCTGTAGTCCTTCTCGGGCAGCAGCAGGAGAAACGGGTTCAAAAGCAAATTGTTGGACACGTGGACTATTGAGCACAAAGGTAGAGATACCATCTGCTGCTCGGGTAGTGTCCAAGCCTTAGGTGGGAATTTGGGACACAAGCAGCAACTTTGTTTTATATCTCACACTGGTTTATCCTTTTTCAGTAAGCATCTACTACTGCCACAGTGAAGAGACAGGCTGCTGGGCTAGGTGTACATCTGATCTGAGCTGTTCCGCTCAAGTCTTGAGAGAGTTAAAATGTATATGCATATACATACATATATAGGTGTGCGTGGTTTTATGTGTATATCATATATAGATATGTTTATAGTATTATAGTCCAGTGCATAGTAGGCTTGGTATAGTCCATAGTGAGCTTGGCTCCCCTCTCACATGAGCCAGCTTTATCACTTGATTTCTGCAGAACTTCCTCTTGATTTATTCTCCCGTTAGTGAGAGTAAGGCTCACTCTATGCTGAGCAAGCAGGTGAGCATCAAAAATAATGCAGCACCTGAAGTCCTTGAAAACAGCTGCCTGTTTATTGTCCTCCGCATTCCCTAGCTCTGTCTACTGAGCTTGGAAAAGCAGCAAACCCGTGTCTGTGAAACACACAGCATTGCGTGCAAGGTAGAAACTTTCAAAGTCGGGGGAAGCTTGCTTTTGTGGCGAGGGACTTTGTGGGACTGCATTACACATAGCCTGCCAAATCACGTGAAATGGCCAGCCACAGAACAGCAGGGGATCAGCTGACGGCATCAGAAAGGTCGGACTTGAAGAGATCCGTGTTTGGATGCGATTTGTCATGGACTCGTCTCAAAGCAAGGCAGGGCAGGTGTTTTTATGTAAAACCCAATGTCCATGGCCTGATTGGTCACAGCTTTGTAGATGAAAAGCACTCCCTTGAACTTCTTCCAGAACCCATCATCAGCTCTTGATTATTCAGATATTGCACAAATTTCAGCATAAGTAGTAGGTAATGGGAGGAGCACCCCAGCACCACTGTCCTTCCTGTGTGGCAAATGCAGACGTGCATCCTGTGTGAGCCCCAGGCAGAGCATGTTCAAGCAGCCCATCGTCACAGCAACAAAGGATGACTTTGGAGAGCTTCAGACCACAGGTTACTGAACTTCTCTTCCAGATGCTTGCATCACCACAACATCCTTGACCGGTCTGGACTGAATCCTCGCTACCCAACAATATGGCAGGTAGAAGACTGCAGATTCTTTCTGCTGACCCGCCGGGGTTGCAAGTGTCTTTGGAGGACCCCCAGCACATACAAGTGGCAGGCTCCCAAGTGACCCAGCAAGTGCCTTCTCAGAGCTGGTACACCAGACATGTAAGACTGCGGTGCACTCACAGTGTGCCTGAAGAACCAGCAGTCCCATACAGTTCCTCTCTTTTGAATGCCACAACGACAACCACACCTGCAAACTGGTCTGCTTGAAATTCTTCTAAATAATACATTTTTTAATATTTTTGCATGTTTTTTACACCAAGTAATTTTATCAGTTTTCTACCCTTCTGCTTTGGAGAGACCGAGGGAGTATGTATGGTCTATATTTTTCTGTTCACACTTAGGACATAATTATTAAAGCAACCAGAAGCATATTCAGATCTGCACGTTGGGAGACGAGTATCAGAGGAATCTGAAGATGTGATAGGCATCATAACAGCTGCTTCACAGAGCCTAAATCTGGTCGCTTTTCATAAGATCATCAGTAGCAACAGATGGAGTCTTGACCAGTCACTTCAAGACCGTCATCTCAAAAACAATTAGACCCTGGTTGTGGCAGAGGGAAATACTGACAGCCTCCACTCCTGGTGGCCTTCCCAAGCCATTCTCATATCTCAGTGAAAACGCTGGATAGCAGTCAAGTAAAGACGACTCAGGGTTGTCCTCCCTCCATGCTCCATTCTGCTTCTGCAGTAGTGAACACTCCTGACCAGATTAGGTAAATTGTAGCTACAGTATGGCATGCCAATGATTCACAGGAACAAAATTATGAAAGTCTGTCACCAGGTTTTAATATTAAGAGTGGATCTAATGCTGCCAGTTTTGCTGTCCAGCGGTGCGCTGGTGGGACTGCCTTTGCTTCCCTCACACCGATGGCACACACTGGTGAAAACCAAGCCCCACCACTGGCTGGCACTGGTGCTACCACCTGCGCTCTGGGCACCCTCCTCCCCTGCTTCACCCTTGGGACCTGCAGACCGCGGAGGCCAGTGAGACTGAGGCGTAGAAGGAGGATGCTTGGGGATCCCTGTGCTGCTGACAGCCAGCGTATGCAGAGACAGGCTGGGGGGGTGGTGCCGCGGC